TGTTGCAACTATACAAACAAATATTTTTGTGGATTATGCCCTTATTTATATATTCTAGTTTTACTGTCATAATGGAAGACGTATGATAATAATTGAAATTGAATGCAGATTAATTTTTTCCAGAGACTGAAGAGTAAAAGATGGATGATGACATCTTCATCCCTAAGATTTGAAGTTGGGGGTGGGGTTGTGTGCGATGTTTCCCATTCAAATTATTGAGGAACAGCACTCTTGACAGGAAGATTCTTAGTTTGTTATGAAGATCATGGTAATAGTCTCAGTGAAGATATAATGGTACAGTATATTATATCTTACTGCAGTTTCACTTACTCCACAGGAAGATCCCAATAACATTCTGGCTGAAATTGTTATAAAATCATTTTCAGAATAATGACTTTCTAGAAAATATTTATATATTATAAGTAAATATATTTATAGACTATAAGTAAAATAATTTGTTGGATAAAAATTACAGTTATAATTATAAAAGCAAAATGTGCTTTTCTTGCAAAAATAAATCCTCATGTGTTTACTTAGTATAGATTTTGAGCTCACATTGACATCTGTTAGCTAAAACAAAAACCACAGACTGCCCACAAAGATGGAAAATCTAGTCTTCTGCAAAATGTTTTCCCTCCATAACAGTTTAACTGAAGACAGCTAGAAGACGAATTTGACAAGGATTTTGACGATGCTATCCATCATTTTTAAGATAAGATGAGAAATTCCAGACTTCATCATATAACTGTTCATACTTTGTTTTGATTTTGTTACAGTAATGTGAGGCAGGTCTTGTGAGGACTGGTCAGAGGTTTTTCATGTGGCATTTCTCCAAAGAAATTTTTCTGAAAGGATTTGTTAGCTATGAGATTCTCTGTGAGAAACAAATCTTGGAAAATCTTGGGTAGAAAATACCGGTAAATATCATCCTGTGGATTTTTGTACACAGTTAACAGGTTTGTTTAGAGGTACCATTTTGTATTCTAAAAACATCAGTCTAGACTTATCTGGAGACTGTGTTTGTTGGTGGCAACTCCATGAGGCTGGGGGTGATGGTGGCATGGCAGCTGCCATCTTGATCCATTCCCCCCCCCAGCCTTCTCTGCATAAGTGTGGGCTATTTTCCCATGTTAGAAACAATCAGGTGGGCCTAGCCGATCAGAAAGATGGAGTTTCCAATCTGTTCCTCAGGTAATGTACAAAAGCAGCTGCAGCTCAGCTCCAAGCAGAATAACATGGCTGCCAGTGATTCTCCTTGAAGCTTACTCACACCCACCCATTTTTTGCTCTATGAGTGAAAAAGAGGTTAAGTTGTATACAATTTCTGTTTGCCATCCCTTTCTTTGGACTGTTTTTGAAGCATGAGGGTGGATTCAGGTGGTTGAGGAAGGCCCCATGGAGGTAGGTCCCTCCCCAGAGTATCCCCTTCAAGGGAGTGGGAATCAGTGAAGCTATGTATATGCCCAACTCGGAAACTGTTGCATCCCTTGTAGTGACAGGTGGGGCTAGTAACAATCCTGTTACTGCAGTCATCGTCAACTGTAATCAGGGAAGTTGATGCGGGGTCTGTCCTCCATGGAGGACAGATCACTCCATCAAGGGCTATTGGCAGATGTATCTAATAAAGTTGTGGCCAAGTTTTCCAAACAGAATTGTTTCTCTGGGTTTATTTGTTTTCCTTGCCCCCCCCCCCAAGTCTCCACAGTCATTGGGCTTACCTGGCAAATAATCTGCCATATACCAAACCTTTCATTTTGCCATTAGTAGTATCTCAATATTCACCATTTTGCATATCCCGGCAATATTCTTCATTTACCATTCTCTGACATCTTTTGTCGCTAAACTGCATGTCTTATGAAGGCGTTCTACCTTCTGCTTAACCAGTAGATCCATTATAACTGTTTCTTAGCCCTACTGCCCACAGATATATCATGATTTTATTTATATAATTAATTTATATCCCGCCCATTTAGACCGAAGTCTACTCTGGGTGGCTAACAACAATATTAAAATAAAATAAAACAACAATATTAATACACTAGAGCAGTGGTGCTTAACCTTGGGTTACTCAGGTGTTTTTGGACTTCAACTCCCAGAAGCCTTCACCACCAGCTGTGCTGGCTGGGTTTCTGGGAGTTGCAGTTCAAAAACACCTGAATAACCCAAGGTTAAGAACCACTGCACTAGAGGATGGTGAAATAAGTTAGGTATCAACAGAAGGGAAGGACTCTCTGAAGAGCCAGGCTCTTAAAAATGCCCAGTTGGCACTTAAAAACGCCCAGTGAGGGAGCCAGACAAATTTCTGGGGGAAGATTGTTCCATAAGCTGAGGGGCCACTGCCGAGAAGGCCCACTTTCTTGTTCTTTCTCCTCTCTCGGCATTAGGCCCCTCAGCCGCCCCTCCTGGCTAGAGTGAGTGATATGGGTAAATCTAGGTGGGAGAAGGCATTCTGCCAGATATTGAGATCCTAAACCATTTATGGCTTTATATGTCATCATTAATACTTTGAAATTAATGTGGAAGGCCGCCAGAGTAGGGGAGATATGTTGATGTTTTCTCACCCCAGTAAGAAGTCTGGTTGCCGCATTTTGCACCATTTGAAGCTTCCGCATCAATCTCAAATGTAGCCCCACGTAGACTGCATTACAGTAGTCTAGTCTCGAGAGTACAAGTGCATGGACCAGAGTGGTGAGGGCCCGACATCAAGATAGCGATGCAGCTGGGCAATCTGCCAAAGTTGGAAGTAGGTGGTGTGGACCACTGATGCAACCTGAGTTTCCATGGTAAGCGCCGGATCAAGATGTACCCCCAAGCTGCAAACCTCAGTCTTCGCGATGAGGGTCACCCCCCCAAAAGAGAGGGAGTTTCCGAAAACCACCAATATCTGGGTCACTCACCCTCAGGACCTCCGTTTTGTGCGGGTTCAACCTCAGACCATTCACCTGTATCCATCCCAGTACGGCATCCAGACAGTGCTGAAAGGATGGAACGGCATCCACTGTTGTAGGAAAAAAGGAGATGTAGAGCTGGGTGTCATCAGCATACTGATGAA